ACATCTGATAGGATAATGGTCCAGTGGCATTTCATTGATGACTTTTTGGCATTGATAGGAACCACTATCCATTATTTATCGTTCAACCGCTACTGTTCCGGTGATCTTTGTGGAATGAATTATACCCAATGATTCACCAATGCTGTTAAAATAGTGTTATCTTGATTCACATGTATCCATAGGAGATATACTATTATGCCAGCACAAGGAAAGTGCAAAATATGTATTATCTGATTGAAGTAGCAATGAACATGAACCTACTTTCTCATCACAAAAAAAGTGCCAGCAGTATTATGCCATCGATAAAATCAATGGACCATTGAATCGCCAGCTATGTCGTGTTTGCTGGGAATGCCCATCATCTTTTTTTTAAGTCATGGAAACCATCCATCCTTCTCAAAGTGGTCCAGATTTTTTCAAAGAAAAAACAAAATACACCAAGTCGGTCGACCACAAAATTATATTACACAATTACTAGTGTGACTAGTTTCGGCTAAACAGCCATCTTCAGACACAAATTGAATAAAGTACCTGTAAGAGATGAAATTACAGACGAACAATAAGTTTGCTGAGGAAAAAACATATACCTAGGCCATGTGGTGATTACAAATTCAACAAATAAAAATCAAGCGGAATCGCCGAAGTAAGCAAATGACAGTGACAGCATGACAAGACTGAATGACAGTGACAAATTATACAAACTAAATGACATGACAAAATCATCATAAGGTACAGAAAACTATTTGGCATAATAAACAAATTATTGCAAAGAAAACTATGGGTTATTTACCTAATCTCCTTGTAACAAAACTATGAGAAGTACGTGGTAAGGTTGAAGACCAAAAAGAAGAAGAAGAGATGTCAAGTGTAGTAAAAGTAATAACGGCAGTAGAAGAAGAAGATCCACGGAAAGTAAACAGGTCCGGCTTAAGTACCTGAAAACGGGAAAATTGATCATGAGAATTTGAGTGTGCGAAAAATGTGGTTTCTTTCAAAATTAGTTTGGTCGTTGAGGCAATTAATATATGGATTATTGATACATTTTGAATTTCCAAGATTTCTAAAACGTTTAGCCGTTTACCTTTATTGCAAATGTGAATAATGTCCATATTGGATTTGACATCAAAAGTGTGATTAGAATCAATAATATGATTAGCAAAGGAAGAGGAAGGGTCATGGATATCTGATCTGAGAAATTTGTGGACAATTCTGCGATGTTCCGATGCGCGGATTTTTTTTAATGTTCTGGTTTCCACGAAAATGGATATCCTGTAATGTTCAGAGAACATCGTGAGAACAAGGGAAATGAGGTAGGAATAGGTGATCTTCTTGAATTTCTGGAGGTTATATGCCTCGGGGAACACCTCCCTTGGCGATGTGTTCCAGAGCCGCGCTGTTCGTTGGATGAACGAGTCTTTGGAAAGAGATGTTCTGCAGGTCTCCAAATTGACCACGAAGGGGTGCGAAGCTTCAACTCGACGGGTTAATCTCGCAGGGACTGCTAAGGGAGGAACAATTGTTGATATTTCAGAAGAGCATCGTCTATGAAAATATCTATAAAATAGAGCCAGATCGGCAACATGTCTTCGGTGTTTCAGAGAAGTGAGTGAGTTTGTGAGCGAGGCATCACCCACGAGACGAATGGCCCTTTTTCGACAGAATTCAACAGTTTCAGGGTATGTTTGGGTGCTGCACTACAAACATGGGAACAGTATTCCAAGACAGGTCGGATCTGTGCCTTATATATAGATCATAAACAGCTGACTGGAAGTGAAATAGCTCCTGGCCCAAAACAAAAAACCAAGTTTTTGGGATGCACTTCTAGCAATTGATCTCACGTGATTTTCCCAAGCAAGGTAATTGCTGATAATAATACCAAGCATCAAAATGGATGTCTTCAAAGGTATGGTTACTCCTGAAGAGCTTATGTTGGGCACAGTGAGATCGGCTTTTCTAGAGAAAAGGCATGCTTGTGTTTTGTTTGCATTGAAATCTACCAAGTTATTGGATCCCCATTCGAGAATGTTTGCCAAGTCCATATTTATGTTGTCAACATTTATCCCTCGTTTGTTTCTGATTTGCCTGGCTGGTATTGGAGCCTTGGAGGAGAAGGCGGTATGGAGGGGACTATCATACGCGAAGCTGTGTACTGTACATGAAGTTGCTTCCAAAAAATTGTTGCTATGGAGTAGAAATAGTGTTGGTGCTAGAATTGATCCTTGTGGAACACCAGCATTTATGATAAGAGAGTCAGATGAAACTCCGTCGACCACTACATGAAAAGACCTCTTTGAGAGAAAACTAGCTAGCAGAGAACATAACTTGGGAGGCAAGCCATCAGATGGAAGCTTGGCGAGGAGTCCGTGGTGCCAGACTCGATCGAATGCCTTGGAATATTCACAATTCTATTTAGTATCCTATCCAGATACGGTCAACTCATCTGTGGGAATTTACCTACCTTTTTATTACCTTTCTACCTGCCAAACCAGACAAAATATTTAGTCAGTTCTATTCAGTTATTCTCAAGACACACAACAACGAAGAACGATCGTTCTCATTAGCAAACACGATTCAGTTTTGCTCAGTCGGGTTACCCTCGCAACTTCAAACAGTTGTGTCTCAGTCACGGTTTTCAACAAGTTAGGTACGTTTTTGCTGTGACATCTGCACTTGCACTCGAATCACTCGTTCTCGCGGCGTGGACATTTAGTTCAATCAACTATGGCAAAAAATCGTGTAGTTGCATATTTCCCGTTGTTCTTGAATAATTCGAGGTTTGCGGTATCTAGCGAAGAAGTGTAGGTATAGTAAATTGAACAACATAAAATTGTATTCTTTTTATTATTCGAATAATAAAACTAATTTCCGAGATGAAGGGGATGAAAAAAATCGAGAGGAGCATGGATCACCCATCCCAGTGACAACCGAAGACACAGTAGCACCTGAAGCGATACTGAACAGCATCTTTTGCATGATATGTTGTACTGGATGTCTAGCCAAAACGCTGGAAATCCACGTTCCATGGTGTGCGGCATATGACATATGGTACAAGTACTGGATCACTCCGTATATTCATACTGCTTCTACAGGGTTCATCATTGAAGATGAAAAAAACTTCACATCAGTGGCGGATTTACAAATTTGCCGCCAATATGCTGATCAATTGTTGCCGCCCCTACTAACCTCTGAAATTCGATATACCCTATATAGTTCGCAATCATATTGATTACATTTATTCTGTCAATAACATTGCAACTTTATGATTTGTGCTCTATCGTCTTTACATCAGTTTTTTTCTCGTTATTACCTAGCATGATTTGGAACTAGGATTTCGTTTCTAGATTACTTTCGCAACCCACGATTCAGTGAAGATTTCACTGCCTACTCCTTCGAAAGAACTGAGGGTGTGTGGTTGATGGAGCGGTATTTATAGTGGAAGTGGTGGTCAGTGGATGTGGTGGTCAGTGGATGAAGTGGTCTGTATATGTGTGTGAGAACTATGTATTCTCGGTCCGGGAAGGCGTAGTTTTCAATAACACAGAGTGTGTCACACATATATGTATTATGAAATATTTGAAGAAAATGAATCTCCATTCTTATTCTATGTCTATATGGACATGGATTACACATTCATTCTCACCCCTATTGTGTACATTTCAGTACACTCCAACTATGGGAGTAAATTCTCATTTCTTTGTGGGATTTGTTAATATATTCATTGGTTGTTGAGCAACAAAACACTAATAGTGCAGAGCTGTCGTTTTTCAGAGGTGATTATTTTGATCATAGAAAAAATATAATATGTGTGATGACGTTAAATAATTAATGACAATATTAGATACTTTCAATACATGGAATGATCAAAATGAAATGAAGGACAAAATTTGACTATATTTTCAAATGATGGTAGGCCATGATAATCATAAAACAAAATATCAGTCGACATGACTACAGCATTATCACGTCCTCATTGTCATGTATAATGCGCTATATTATTATGCAGATAGGAGAAAAAGAATATGAATTCTTCGTTGAAAAATTACTAAACTATTAACTTACTTCCCTAGCAAATCAGATACCTTATTAGTCGATACCAAGCCTAAGAAACATAACTAAACTAAAACACAAGTCAAGACCAAGCCTAACACTGAATGAAAACCTTCAGTAACAGTTATAGGTAATTGTATCTTGGCTATTCCACTCATCATGAAATCTGACCAATCGCAAGCCAGACAACTTATTTTATATTCTGATTGGTCCATCAGCGTTGGTCTTTTCAACGATGTAACCATGGATAGTGAATGAAAGTTTGAATGATCATAGTATGGGCGCTTGTTCATTTGTAATAAATGTTTCTTATACTTCGTGAAATAGTCTAGCAAAATACCACTTCTTTCTGAATAACTTCCAATAATGATTCATCTCATTGTTCACTGAATTCAGCTGAATTGTATTGCCAAGCAACACCACGAATCCATCAGGAAAATAAAAATAACAAAATCAGTGTTTCCAAATTATTTCAGGAACGACTGAAGTTTTTAAAGTTGCCAAAACAGCAAATCGGAGAAATCTAGTTTACACAACTATTGTCGAATTTGATCAACTATTCTCTCTGGTATGGCTTGGAAAATATTAATCACATTCCGATTCAGAATTATTTCAGTAATCAAAAAAATTCACAATATACAGGGTGTTTCATTCAAAGAAGCTATTCTCGGTGGAACCGGATATGACCAGAAAGTCAAACATATGCGAATACTCTGCTTGTCACAAACCATTTACCGATACCAAATCTTATCTTGATACACCTATTTTTCTAGAAGTTATGACTTGTCGAATGGATTCGTTGACACCTATCGGTACACATACAAACCATACTCCTGAATCAAAGCATATTCTATCGAAAGAAGTTTCATGTGTGTATTGTTGATGATACTTGAAGAAATTGAGTAAAATATTCCATTGGACATCTTTTGCTTTTCAATACAATATTGTTACAGATGTTTTCAACCTAATTCCCAACATCAAAGAAATATGGCTGGACAAAAACAAGATCGACTCCATCGCAGGTGATGCCTTCTCTAACCTCGAATCGCTATATTTGATTGACTTGAGCTACAATGAGCTCATATACTGGAACAAAGAATGGTTCGCTAACTGCCCCAATCTACGAGTTATGATGTTCGATAACAACAACATTCCCACGATCCCGAGAAGAGCATTCGCAGCGCTGCCAAAACTGAAAAAGATCTCATTTGAAGGTAACGAGATCACCACCATCCAACCAGATGCCTTCCGAAACCTAAATGACCTCCAGTATTTGAACCTGGACCTCAATAGGCTCACAGTGATTGACGAGCACGCATTCCCGAACAATATCTACATCAAGCATCTCACGATCAACGGTAACCATCTTAACTATTTACCGAACAAGCTGCTGAGGAAGATGTCAACCGGCAATATCTCCATGGACCACAATCCCTGGAAGTGTCCTTGTCTAGAGAGATTGAACTATTGGATATACTTCACCAACGCCAACCTTCAGGTGAGGCCCCAATGCAAATCACCATTTGCCCCCATTTGCGTCGTGCCTCAAGTGCTTCCAGGTCATTCCCAGACATGCCAAGAACGTGTCGACAAAGAGTTGACTGGAAGATATATCGCGTTGTTGAAGAATTTGTCTGAACCGTTGTTGACACGTTGTGCCAGATTGGATTAGAATATAGATCCATTTTAAATGTATCTGACGTGACGTAGTATCAGAAGAGACATCTTCATAAACACTGCAGCAATGATACCTCAATCAATATTGGAAATTATTCATTATAATATGTACACTACACTGTTTTACCACTAACCAAACCGATTTTTAACGCCTCGACACGTGTTTCGCTAACTATGTTAGCATCTTCAGAAGAAGATTAAAAGTTTAGAGGTTGGTGAGATATATCCATTCAATTAGTGTTTACAAAAGGAGAACATGCATTTGTGGGTGATTCACATAAGAACCGACATAGAGCAGGGGCATGTAGGGGGTCCCAAAATATAGCAATTTAACGCAACTTACCTCTATACCAAGTTGCTTTCCTAAGGAGATATAGGCTTTGGAAGTGAAGTTATAAATTTTGAAAAAAATCAATATCTCCGTTATTCTTGTACTTAAAGCAACCAAATTTGTTACACTTCGTGGATGTATTTAGGGCGTTACTTGACAGTAACTAGAGTTTAATTGAAATTTGTAAAGGGGGTATACCAAGTGGCGCACCATCAATATTCAACATAATTTTGTTAACCCTTGATGGATTTCAAAAATCTTTGCTTTGTTTTGTGGGCAATTCAATTCTAAAACTTTTCTTACTCGAATAACTAAAAACGCGCGCTCTAGGTGTGTTATTTAAAATCATCGAAAATTCAAAAGTTGGCTATGAAAATAAACGTCAAACTTGACAATGAGGCAAGTGAGTTGTTCAATTAAGTAATTGTTAATCTTTGGAAGAAGTCCATGGTAACTCAAAGTGGAGTGGTGTAGTTCATAGATGAAAACCCAAAGTCATCTCCACAACTTTTATTCAATGATCATAGATCATATAAGGGAACATGTTTCGGGCTTATATAAGCCCATCATCAGCCAAGAAAATGTAAAATGCATAAAATAAGCAATAACGGAGCAAGCAAAGGCCATTGCTCCATGATTGTTTATATAATAAAAATGTTTTTTAAAGAATTTTTTTTATAAGTAATTGTTGTTTGAGTGTTTTTAAAATGAACGGGAAGTTTTCTTTTAACGAGCAAGTTGACATACTGTTAGTGCTACGCCTATAACTCCTTAGGGAAGTAACTTGGTATAGAGGGAAGTTGCGTTAAATTGCCATATTTTGGGACCCCCTACATGCCCCTGCCCTATGTCGGTAGTTATGTGAATCGTCCTGTATAGGTAACGTTAGGACCCTGTTTATATATTATCTTATGTTTAATTGTTCGATATAGGAATCATAACATATAGAAATAGAAATAGAAACTTTATTGATCCATAAATTACCACAATTATAAGGGTGTTGGACAAGTCAAGTTGTTTATACCTAGTGTAAAATTGAAATAAGTTGGATTGAAACATTCTCGAAAATACATACATAAAATATTAGAACGATACAATACAGTAATTATAGTAGGTACATTTAAAAAAATACAATGAGTCAAATAAACTAGGATAAAATAAAATATGCAATAAAAAATTATCTGTGAATTGACTATAGAGGCTATTCCTGTCCAAAAACTCATTTACTGTGTAGAAAGTGCCAGATATTAAGAATTGTTTAGATTTTCTCTTGAAATTCTCGTAGCAAGAGATGTTTTCCAGTTCATTAGGAAAGGCATTAAATAATTTTTTCCGTCGACCTCGTATTAACGACTAAGTTTAATGTATATGAAATCGTTCATTAATGACCCCTATTAATGAACGATTTGTCTATTAATGTACGATTGTTTTATAGGCAACCAAACATACACCGCGTGCATTCATTGTTTATGCTATAACTTACGGAATCTGCATTTAAATCGAAAATATGGATTTCATTGAAGATTTTCTGTTAACGGGTTCACCTTTCCAAGTTTCTGACACGATTTTCTGTTTTCTAACACAAGGAATTTTTTTTCTATGTTGATCATTTCGACAAATGTCAAATGACACTAATGTCAGTGACAAGGCTACTGGGTGATTCTTAGCAGTTTCCAGATAAATGATGAATTCGCGAACCAAGTTTTCTTTATTGCAGGAGAAATGAGAAATATAGTCGACGGAAAAATGTTGTAACCAACTTGTATATTAAAAGGCGATTAATGATCTCGAACATTAACGCACTCGCTTCGCTCGCACGTTAAAATATCTCGATCATTATTCGCCCTCATTAATACACTAGTTGGTTAAATAACTATAAAGCAATGAATAATTTAGGAAATTTACGGAACATTGCAGTTTTATGTCTCGGTATGTCAAAGTTCTTATGGCGAGTTTGATAACTATGGTGATTTTGTGAAACGTTATTCAAATCTTAATGAAAGTAAGGCATCTCAAAATGAATATACCTGAAAATCTTCGGAAGAAGTCCATGGTAACTCAAAGTGGAGTGGTGTAGTTCATAGATGAAAAACCCAAAATCATCTCCACAAATTTTATTGAAATGATCAAAGATCATCAATGGTACATGTTTCGGGCTCATATAAGCCCATCATCAGTCGATAAAATATTTCAAAGTTCTAGAAAAAACCGGTATTGACTTAGGATATAATGCAATGATTGATTACTTACATGGAAGTGAAAAAAGTTGGAATTCAAACAACGTGGACAATAACAGAGCAAACAAAGGCAACTGCTCCATGATCTGGAATACAAACAGTTGAATAGATATGTAAAGGAAGTTCAGAAGCGGAAAACTCACTGTTTGTGTAAAAAAAAAGTATACAAATTTTACTGAATTGATTAAACGGCATATTTTTCAAATTTCATTCCTTTATAACTTTTTTATTGATTGACGCATTTCAACGTAATTTACATGTTACCCATTTGAAAATGTCACAAATCCAGTGGTGTAGTAAGATTTTTTCTAAAAAAATCGCTAGTAATTTTTTTAGATTTTTGACCTTGAAAAATCAGATTAGTTGGCCCTGGAAATGGAGATTTATTCATGATATTTGGTGTCCTAATAGACTTTTTGAATATCTACCTGACAAAAAAAAAATCATTCCAATCGGTTGAAAAATGTAAG